CTTGCTTTCTCCCCCTCCCCCCCGCCCCAGCACAAACATAGACTCATAGAATCATGGAATCATGAAGGTTGGAAAAGACCTTTAAGATCATCGAGTCCAACCGTTAACTTAGCACTGCCAAGTCCACCACTAAACCATGTCCTCAAGCACCACATCTACCCTTCTTTTAAATACCTCCAGGGATGGAGACTCAACCACTTCCCTGGGCAGCCTGGTCCAGTGCCTGACTGCCCCAGCAAAAGCATTTTCAAGCACAAACATGCGCAGAAGTACTTAATGCTCTGTTTTGCTCTTCCCAACCCCCATAAATTCATGCTCATGTAATTATGGCGCTCTGTTTGCCTACTGATAGCAAGTTAAAAATACCACACACGCCCCAAATTAGAACTATTTTCTATTTTTTGTTAAATCCCTGCAGTTGATATAGAACAAAATGTTGTGATGAGCCACGAGAGATCTCTCTTGCCTGCACTGGTCAGGACAGGAGACTGCAACACCACCACCAGCAAAAAAAAACCCACCAAAAGCGTGGCATGCCCAGACCAGGACAGATCTGACTGTGTTATGAAGCCATCGATCCTTTATTCCCTTTGGTTGCTTCACCTGTTGCTTGGTCTTTCTACAGTGGAAATGGATTTGTGCCAGGAGCTGTTCTATCAGAGCTTGCATTTAGATAAAACGTAAAATATTTCTGCTTTATGCAAATGCCTAATTTATACTCCAAGGTGCGCCTCCCTTAGATTAAATGTAAAATATTTCTGTTATTTAGATAATATGTAGATAAAATGTAATTTAGATAAAAAGTAAAATGAAATGTAAAACATTTTTGTTCTATCCAAATTCCTAATTTATACTCCAAGGTGCCCCTCACTTAGAAGGAATTACTTATTGTTGGTGTAGCGCTTATTTTGATGGTGGAAAAACGGATGTCATCCCACGAATAATCTTGTGAGGCACATGAAATTAATCTAGTATTAAACAAAAAAGAACAAAAACAAATTTTCACCTTATATTCAGGTTGTAAAAACTTTGTCATGGGAGCCAGCTCTTTATGACATGCAAATACCGTATTTGCCATTAAGACTTCTGAATCTCTGTTTTTAAAAGGTTTGTGGAAGGAACTGTCTGGAAATCACAAAAGGCCAACCCCCTCCCAAGCAAAACTAAGGAGACTGAGTTTCCCAGTGCCTGTTTGAGATGGGGAGGTCAGGACACGCACACAGTTTCCCTTTCACTTCTGATAGGCTTCTCTGAGCTAAAAACATAGCATGAAAACCCACCCCCAAGTGTTAACATAGTTTGAATGTCTGCAGCGATGACACAGGGAAATACCTCCTTTGCGAGACCAGGCAGAGCTTCAGCTGCTAACCAGTGAAGACATACTGCATTAGGAAAAAACGAATGAATGCAAAGCTGCATCCATCCTAATACCATCTCCCACTTTTGGAGCAGCAGAGACAATATCTGAACAGAAACATGCCCCTGCCCGTTGCACTGCCTGGCTCGTCACTTACATAAAGGCCAGGATAAGCAGATGGAAGAGTCTGGCTAAGGACCAAGGAGCAGATTTTTTTTTTTTGAGGTATTTAAATGCCAAGACATAATCAAGCTCCCAGAAAGATTTTCAAAAGCAATTGGGAACCCAAGTTCTGAGAGTCCGTTGGTCCTTCTGAAAATCCTGTGCGGTATGAAATTAACTGCATCCTTTGACATCTAAATACCTCTGGTTCCTTGTCCTTCTTCTGCTAGGGACCGTCCCCCTTGATTTCAGCAGGGCAAAGCCTTGGTTGTGAAAAGCTGTGAAATTCCTTCCCATTCTCTAGTGCCCCTGGCTCCCTGAAAAAAGGGAAAGCTTATCCTTCTCTTCTTACCTAATGAAAATGCTACTGCCCTCTGAACTATTTTAACTGAAACTGTAAGGAGAGCACTCAGTGCCCTGACTGTGGCCACGTGGGTCTTTGCTGTACAGAGCACAGTTTGCTTTGATCTGATTGAGGTTTACTTGCCACAGATTTCACTGCAATGCCTCTCTGATTTGATAGCGCAGACTTGCAGTTTCTTTTTTCGGGTAGAAATCCCTCTTAGATCAGTAAATGACGCAAAGGCTGCAGCGTCCGTCCCAGTCCCACCGGACAGTGGCGGGCCAAACGCTGCCCTCTGTTTACAGGTCTCTGTTGATATAAATCGGGTTGCCTGTGTGGGATCTTGGGACTGCTGTTCATACACATTTCGTCCTCAGAAACACGATACCAATCTATTGCACAAAGACTGCAAAAGAATTGCACAGATTTTTTTTTTACTTTATAGAAGAAAATGTTCCCTTGATGTGATAAATACTGAACGTGACTTTTGCTCAGGCTGCAAATAGCAGATTACTTAATCATCTACTATTTAAGTACCTGTTTGTTTTCTTATGAAGTCAAACTTTTGAGCAAGATCATGTTACAAGTAAAGCGCCTTCCTACATCCTTAAATATTAATCCTCAAGTGAAAACAGATTGAAGGAATCTCCAGGGTCACTTTAATAAGCCTGAGCTACTGCATCCCGCTCTTCAGTATCCCACATTACACGTTCCTCACCCCGTCTTTGTGCCAACGCTAACATTTTTGCAGCCTCTGGATGACCTTGGCAGGAGGATGGGAATGGGGAGGTGAGCTGGGAGGGACCCGTTCCTGGGGGGCACAGGGGCCATCACCAGCTGCTGGGAGCAGGGACAGGGCTGGAAAACATGGGCAGCCCTGAAGGGAGAGGGGTCTGCCAAGCACCTGCGGGTCTTAAGGTGGAGGCGATGGAAAGCGTTAAGAGGGCAGCTGTGAAATGAGAGAAGCCCCCGGTGGAGCAGAAAGGGTGGAAGGCCAGAGGGGTCTGCGCCAGAAACAGGGATGTGAAAGGACAGGGCGGGAGCAGGAGAGCGGCAGGCAGGAAGCCAGAGGAAGGCAAGGCAGGAGGAGGGCCGGGGCTGGGGTGTGCGGGCACGGGCAGGCGACCCGGGTGCCGGGAGGAGACGCTGAGGCGGGAGGGACCCGAGCTAGAGCGAAGGGTACGG